GCTCTAGTGTTATCGCTCTCACCACTCTCTATCAGTAACACAGTTAGATACAATTGCCCCCCCCCTACACCCCTAATCCCCCATCTCGGCACACGAAGGAATCTAATCCTGCCGACATCTGATGAAGGGAGCTTTGGCTCTTGAAAGTTTCTGCCTCAAAAACCTTGCTGGTCTCTAAGGCGCTATGGGGCTCGAATCTAGCTAATCTAACTGGGAAACGGATCGTCCAGTTCTCCTCTGCAAGTTTCTCTCGCTGCTAGGAACAGCCCTCAAACAACTTCCTCAGATATCGCTCAGCATATTTTCGGGGTGGGGAGGGCCCCGGATCTGTGAAATATTTTTTAAAAATACTGTTATACCAATATGTATTTAACAAATGATACAAACGACTCACAGAGAGCAAAGTACTCAAATTGTGTTTTATACACACACACACACACACAAACATTTACAAACATCAGCATATCTGATTCTCAATGTGGCTCTACCTGTGGATACTAAAATCCAGAGACTGGGGCCATAGACAGATAAGGCAAATCTTTCAATAACTAGAGAAAAACCTTGCGATTACACAACCACTGAATTGCGGCACTGGATTATACTGGAGCGGCAATCCTTAATCAGTACGGTTAACTACAGCTGTATAGCCACTTCACGAAGGAGGGCAAATTGTAAACAATGGGGGGTGAGAACTAAGCAAACACTTCCTTCATTTTAGAAGCTAGACTATTGTACTTCTGATACATTATTGCAGTGAGGAACAAATGAGTAGTAGTTTTCGAGTTTATTAAAACCAAACACTTCTCACATCCTTCTTTTAATATTTCGATAACACGCAAATTTAACATTTGACCAATCAAACCCCTGAATGGTTAAAAGACAAGAGGTTAAAGAACTAATTAGTTGATCACCCAACTGAGGAGTTGGAAATGTTCACATTTATTTAATCGATTAATCATTCCACTTGATACATTAAAAAGTAAATGATGAATCAATGAAAAATCCTTTAATCCGACACTCCCTTCCATTTTTCCTTCTCCTGCCTTATAGTCCTCTTCCATAATATAATTTTCAGCCACATCTTTAGTATCAGGGGGAGTTTCATACATTCCGTGGCAGCAAACCCAGATTTTTTCAAAGCATTTACTCTTTGGTTGATTCTGCAATGGCTTTTCCCTTCACTGTTTTACCAAACCCACGCTGGAACAGAAATTCCCCTCTGCATTGCATGCCACTTTCACTTTCTTTGATCATCAGATTTTATGGTACCTTCTGCATAGATTTATGGCTATTTGGGGATGAATTTTGCAGTCAGTATGGCATTGCCCCAGGGTACTTGAATGTGGTTTTGAGCTGCACCTTTGGTAAAACAATGGAAGGAAAAGCCAGTGCAGAACCGCCCATTATGTCCTGCTGTTCTCACATCATCCATGGGGGTTCCCATCCAGGCAAACACCCAAAGACGCTTAGCTGCATGTGAGATGGCTCTGTCCTGTTACCCCTTCAACTGTGCCCTGGTTCTAATGAGAGGATCTCTGTGCCCAAAACCTCATTCTGGCTTCTGAACTTGCAGTACGCACTGCCCACTGGGCACTCACAAGCTTATCTTTGCACAGCAGGACAAGAGACTTACTTTTTAAAAAAGAATCAGAATCCTAGGATTGGGTTCTTACCTTGCCTTTCTTCCATCGTGGAACAAAGGAGTTCCACAGCACTGGGCGAACCCATGCCTGCTTAGCTCCAGTTAGGCACAACAACCTCCCTACGGAGGCGCACCTGGCCCCCTCGCTTTCTGGGACCCACTGACGGTTTTATTTAGGATCACATTTGGTTAAGTGTGCTGGCAACCTGGACTGTGGTTTTCAATTATGGTTTTTATGCTTCTAATGTATTTTATTGCATGTATCTATCTTGCGAGGTGCCTTGAGCTCCATAAGGAAGAAAGGTGACTAATAAGTGTTTTAAATAAATAAAAATGCCCTCCATCCACAGTCTGTGTTGCTGTTGTGCATGCATTCCTCAGGGAGAGGACGGCAATCCCAGCCTGGACCATACATGCGTTTGCACACACCATCACAATCACTTTACATTTTGAGATGCACGCTTAAACAAAAAATAAACGTCCTAAGTGTTCCTCACGTTCCAGATGAAGGACACCAATAAAGGAAGTGTTGCTGATCTTACTACATTCCATGTTTCCCTACCAACCACATACAGACGTGGAGTATGGGCACAAGAATGTCACATTAGTGGGACTGAAGAAGGGAGCAAAATCACTGATTTTCAGGTCTAGCAAATATAGCTTTAACTCTTCCATTGAAATAGATGAGTAAAGCATTACGTTTTGACTGTACTGTGCCCAGAGGCTTGGATCCTGTGGGGAAGACTTCCAGAAAACAGAAGACTTCCCACTGCAGATCCCTGACTCCCCCCTTATGCTGAACCTAAGGGTCCCCCCCCATGCCCCTGAAGCACAGGGTATTTTGGACTGCAGCGGGAGGGGGGGGGAATGATGAATGACATCTTGCTCATCCCAAAAATTCCCACCCCACCAAGGGCTCTCCCTCTCCCCCAATTGTTAAGACAACTGGCCTACCAGGCTGCACTGGAACCATCCTGTTCTGGTGAAGTCATAAATGAAAATGCTGAGATAACCTGCATAAAATTGTCAGTAAGCAAGGATCGCTTCTCTCTCCTAGCCTCAGTGTTCTCATCTGTAAAATGCACACATTTCACCAGCCACCTGTCTTTGCATTAGCAGGAGAACTTGGAATCCTTCACAATGCATCATAACTTATATGTGAATCTGCACTTTAGGGGAGGAGGGGAATACCTCACTGTACGGCTTAGGGGTGTAGCAGCAGGACCCCAGCCTGCAACTGGTTCTAGTCTGTGGGCCCCAGAGTTTTGGCAACCAATCAAAGCAAAGCAAAAAAAAACAAACCCCAGATCCTTCAAGCACATCTCCTTTGAATGTCCTGCTTGCAGACAGTTTAAGGGCGCATACGGAGTCCAAGGCACACAGACAGTCTTTCAAGGGTTAAAAGAAGTGTGTGTGTGTGACACAGAGAAAGAGCGCACAAGAGTGGCTGCTGGTCTTCGGGTACAGGGTTCCATATAATAAGACTATTTGTATTCATACTGGCAGAGTAAACACTACACGTTCATGCCCAGGCAGCTCGGCAGTAGTAATTTCAGCCACAACACAGCTCTCTCCCTTGGGAATCTCTGCTACTCCCCTGGCCTCCAACCACTCCAAATGCAGAACAAGAGCAGAGAAGCGAAGGGGCGGGAGGGGGGACACAGAGAGAGAAAGAAAAGAGCACGGAGAAAGAGACAGGCTCTAGTGCTTCATACAGCACTAGAGCCTGGTCTTGCTTTAAAGGAGAAAGAAAATTTAGGAAGGCTTCACAACGGAGGGATGGAGAGAACACCAATTAAATGCAGATGTGCTTTGGAATCGATCCTCCCCACCATTTCTCTCCGAAAACCCTAGTTTTAATTTCATTTCTCCCTTGTGCAGACCAAACCCTCCAGTTCTACCTTTCGCACCATTTTTGAACCCCTTACACCAAGTTTTTCCTGAGAAATGCTACGCATGCATACACACACATACGCGCGCACACATACACCTCCCAAGTTAAAACCTACCTTCCCTCAGATTTAACAGCAGTCATTTCATCTATTGTGCCTTAAGCCCTGAAACACGACTACTGTCCAAGTCTCCCTGGGCAAAACGCTGCCCAACGGACCCATTTGCAGAAGTGGGTCTTTCTAGCTTTGATTGGGTGTTCAGGGTTTCCTTCTCTCTCCCCTCTTGGGCAATGTTAATAGTTCAGCATTGATGCCAAGTATTTCACGCACTCAGTATGCAAAAGCAGAACAGAGCCTTGCAGCTCCATAGAAGCTAACAAATCCTGTCGTAGTGCAAGCTTTCAGACTAACAGGGCTAAACTGGAATGTCAAATACATGTACAGCCATCATTTATTTACTTTGTTTACTTACTTTCTCACCACTGGAGACCCAAAGCAACTTAAAAATCATTCTCCCCCCCTCCCCCCCACTGGATCCTTACAACAACCCTGTGAGGTAGGGTAGGCTGAGAGCATGTGAGTAGCCCCAGCTTACACAGCAAGCTTTCATGGCAGAGCAGGGATTCAGCCCCGGGTCCCCCACATCTTAGTCAGATACATTAGCCACTGCACTATGCTGGCTCTCCATAAAACCAACAACAGCCCTGTAGGTTTGCTCAGTATTATTGTATCTGTATTATAAGCAAATGGAGCTGCGGTGGCTCAAGTGGTTAAGACGCTGAACTGCAGGCTGTGGAAGGTCAGTAGTTCAGCAGTTCAAGACCCGGGTGCCGCAAGACAGGGTGAGCTCCTGTCTCTAGTTCCAGCTCCTGCCAACCTAGCAGTTCGAAAGCAAGAAATTGCAAGTAGATAAATAGGTACCACTTCGGTGGGACGGTAACAGTGTTCCGTGCGCCTTGGTGTTTAGTCATGCCGGCCACATGACCACGGAAACGTCTTCGGACAGCGCTGGCTCTTCGGCTTTGAAACGGAGATGAGCACCGCAACCCTAGAGTCGGATTCGACTGGCTTTCGAGCAAGGGAACCTTTACCTTTACCTATTATAAGCAACTAGCTTTCCTGTCCAAGTATTAACCAGGGCTGACCTTGCTTAGCTCCTGAGATCTGACAATGGCGGTTTGCCTGGACTTCTTTGGTGGTCTTCCAAGTACTAACCATGGCCAACTGTTCAGAGCTTCCAACAGCTGAAGAGAGCAGGCTATCCTGGGCTATCCATGTCAGGGCTCACACATGCATTCAGTCCCGGTCAAAGGGACCGGACATTTTCCTCCAGGCAGAGGCTCCAATCAAGCGGGCACCCTGTTGTACTGCCTGAAGACCAAATGTATCCAGCTGCCCACAGTGGGTGCCAAAAGGGAGGGTCCACAGTATTAGCAACAAGGAAAAGGTGAAATGCCACAACTTGCCTCATTTCCTCCTGGCAGCCTGTTCATATGTACCAGTTGGCCCTGGTCATCCAGCACCAGTTCTGTATACGTCAACAGATCAGAGGGCAGAGGAGGGGCTGGCAGGACTGCAAGCTCATCCATGGAAGCCCAGAGTTTAATCAAAGACTACAGAGAGTGATGGAAAAGAAAAGAGGAAAGATGCTCGTTAGGAAACAAGACACATCACTCTTAGCACTGGGATCAGAGGCAGAAATCACTATTGCTGCTGACAAAGAACATTGGCTGACTGCAGTGTGAAAGGCAGGGGCAAGGAGCCAGTGGCGAGGAGGCCCTGTAACTCAGAGGCAGGGGGCCTGCTTCAACTCCAGCCAGCCTAAGGACCTCCAGCCTGGTTTACCCAGGCATGCCCAGGCAGGCAGCCTCTCTGGCCTAGCAGCAAAGCACCTGCCTCAAGCGTGGATGTGGCTCTAGATTTCTCCAGGAATTCCACAGAGTGGGCTCTGGAAGAAGCCACGTGCACAGCTGCTTCCCTGTACGAGTCCGAAGCATCTGTCAGCATTCTGAACTTCCCTGTTCACAGAAAAGTGGGGAAGGCTGGGTGCTTCAAGAGTCTCTCCAGAGCAGGAAGGCAGGAGAGGAGGGGGATTTCCTCTTCCCGCCTTGTCCCTCTTCTCCCCCTCCACAGTTTCTTCGTTCCACAGCCTCACTTAAAAATTGAAAAGCTACCTTTAAAACTCCAACAAACAAAAAAGGTGGGAGGAGGCAAAAGTACACTTGTTTATATTTAGACAGAAATAGCTAAGCAAAAACATCTCTTCTAAACCCCCCCCCCCATTGCTCAATGTAAACCAAGGACTCCAACAGGAGTTGTCAGTGAAGCTGCTACTTTCCCAATAATAATAAAATGGAGACGTTTAATCAGCAATCCAGGAGGACTATGACTGCAGCAACCTGAAACGAAAGTATAAAATATGGGCCTGAAGCAGGGTACCAATGAAACAGAGTAGCTCTGGATACAAGACACCGGAGACTGCACACCCTACATGCAAAGCTCCCTCTAAACTGTGGAGTCTTGTGAGCAAAAATTCTACTTTGTGAGCTACTGGCACTAAAGTTGTGAGTGAGAGAATTGGCTCCTGCATAAGTTAGTTTGCTCTGGAGCCACATCCTTCCTGAGCTAAGACAAAAACGTGTGAGCTGGAGGCTAAGAAACTGTGAGCTAGCTCACACTAACTCAGCTTAGAGGGAACAATGCCTCCATGTAAATCTCCCCAAACCATTTGGGACTAGCCCCTCCTTGAGTCACCAGCCCCAAGCTAGATAGACCCTTTGTCAGATACAATTCAAGTATGCAGCCCTTACCTGTCGAAACATTTCGGGGATATCATAGACATACGTTGTTCCCAGCGACTGAGCCTGGAATCTCTTGGACTGCAGTAAGTCCTTTGTCACATACGGAGTGTTGATCAACATTCCATGCAGTGGCCCTTGCTTATCACCATAAGCTTGGAACATAATCTAAAAAAGGGAACACCCCCCCCCCGATATAAACATGACAATCAGGTTCATGGGTGAGGGCTACTATTGCCATTTCATCCAACCGTCTTGCTCTGGCTTTCTCTGCCATTAAAGGAAAACCAGGTAGAGCCCACCCCATTATTCTCAGTGGCTACTTCTTCAAACAATGATCTGGAAGCCAAAAATGTATGTTGCTGCACAAAATGAAGCCATCAGCCACACTTGTTTAATCAAGGTGGTAGCATCCTGCCATGCAGTCACGTAGCGGAAGTTCCCAGAGACTAGGGATCACTTATATTAATTAATAAAGATAAGAGGATGAGAGGATGAGACTTTAGGAGATCGCCATCTTGCTATTAGGAAGTGAGCACCGATTACTGCTTTGTATATATGATGTTTTAATATTTGATGCTATGTATTATTTAATAGTAATATTTTAATGTTTTATGGATGTACTATATCGGCAGTGTGCCTTGTAAGCCGCCCTGAGCCTACGGGGAGGGCGGGATAAAAATCGAAATAATAAATAATAAATAAATAAAGTGAAGGACATTTCAGCCTGTTGTGCTTAGATGCCTCAGATCCTCACGTTAGCCACTCTGATGAGATGTTACAAGAAAAACCACAAGGCTTCCTGAAATTCTAACAAAAGGATCCGGCCTTTGCTTTCATAGCCTCTGAGCTTTGTTGCTTTGTGTCAAAGATCTTGTAGCAGGCTGTGTTACTCTTTTTACGCTGCATATAAAGACCTAAACCTGTGGTCTTTTTAGGACAGGTAGCGGAAGACAGGTTTCCCTCTTAGTCCTGGCTTTCCCATTAGGAATCTGGAGCGAAGTAGGCGAAAGTTTTGAATATACACATGCCTACTCGTGCATCACATAGCAATGAATGACTTGAACTAACAGTTCAAGATTTGAATCCCACTTACATGGGGGGAAATAATCAGAGAGAGTTTTGTCTCACTGTAGGAGACATGCTGTACCTGGGCCGTTCTGGAGTCTGTCACTTCCTTGTACAGGCTTATGTCCAAGTAATAGCCAGATTCATTGGTCAGGAAGAGCCGGATGGGAATTGCCTTGCCCGTTGGCGTCAGCCGGATGTTGATCTTCAGCTCTGCCTGAAGGACTCGAAGTTTCCACAAGCGGCTGCCATAGCGCATCACCATACTCCGCACAGACTCCTCGATCTGAACAACACGGAGGGAAGAAAGGATAACCTTGAACATAAGGGGCAGATGAACCACTACAGAACTACTCTATAGAGGAAGAACCAAGACAGATTATTTGTGGGCAGAACTAGAGAGTGCAGAGAACGAATGACTGATGTTGCCAAGAAGAGTCCCAGCATCTCTTCCCAGTTGAGAGCCAGTTTGGTGCAGTGGTTAAGTGTGCGGACTCTCATCTGGGAGAACCGGGTTTGATTCCCCACTCCTCCACTCACAGCTGCTGGATGACCTTGGGCAAGCCATAGTTCTGTCAGAGCTGTTCTCTCAAGGACAGTCTTCGAGAGAGCTCTCTCAGCCCCACCTACCTCACAGGGTGTCTGTTGTGTGGAGTGGAAAGGATAGGAGTTTGTAAACTGCTCTGAGACTCCAAGTGAAGGGTGGGGTATAAATCCAATCTCTTCTTCTTCTTCTTCCTCCCTACCTTTTTCGTAACGCCTAGTACATTTTTTGTTTAAAGGGACTTGACACCATTCCATTGAAAATTTCATCGCCACTTAAAAATGGCAGTGAAACAGGAGACTCTCAATATGATCCTGTGATGTCACAAGTTTTGTTTGATAATATTCGAGGGAACAGGGTGGGGGAGAAGAAATGGGATAATGTTTTGGGCAGCAGCCAGGGGTTCCCCAAACCACCTGTTTAACTGGCCAGCATTGCAGCCAATGCTGCCAAAGAGACTCTTGGCCAGGGTCACTCCCAGAATTCTACCATCTTTGAACAGCTATGGCAAACACACTGGAGGATATTTGGGATCACTAATGCTAAGGCACATTAATGTGTCCTTCCATATTGTATAGTTGCCCTAGTTAATGCAATTTTAAAAGTTAACATTATAATTTTATATGTTGCAAACTGCTTTAAAGACCCAACAGCCAAAGGCAAAAATGGATGGATGGACAGAGACCCAGTGTGGTGCAATAGTTAGAGTGTTGAACTAGAACTAGAATAAGCAGGTTGCTTACCAGTGACTGGTGATCTTCGAGTGGTCATCTGTGCATTCACACCCATGAGATTCAGTGCGCACGCGCTGGATTGATCAGTGCTGTAGCAAGCCCCTTTTTAACGGATTTTCATGCCCAGTCCCTCCGGGCATGCGCAGGAACCCCACCGTGCATGCCCAGAGGGGTGGGCGCGGACATCCCACCAGTTCCTTCAAAGTACCATCGCAAATCAACCCCTATTCAACTGTAGAAGCTGACAGCAGCGGGGAAGGAGGGTGGGTGGTGTGAATACACAGATGACCACTCGAAGATCACCAGTTACTGGTAAGCAACCTGCCTATCTTTGACGTGGTCTCTGTGCTTCACATCCATGGGAGATTAGCGAACAGTAGCCTACCTGGAGGTGGGTGCTGGCAGGTCTTCTACTGCGTAGCCGAAGACAGAATGTGACATCCCATGTAGGTAGTCCCTGATGAAGGTGTTAGGCGTGGCCCATGTAGCGGCTCTGCAAATGTTCGTCAGCGGCACTCCCTGGAGGAAGGCAGTGGAAGTCGCGACAGCCCTGGTGGAATGAGCCCTGATAGGGCCAGGCAATAGCCGCTTGGCGAGTAGGTAACAGAGTTGGATTAGACCTACAATCCACTTTGACAGATGCTGAGCCATGATGTGACTGCCTAGCCGTGCCGAAGCATATGAGATGAATAGTTGTGGGTCTCGTCTGGTTGGATGCGTTCTTTGCAGATAGAACAAGAGAGCCCGCTTGACATCTAGAGTGTGTAGCAATCTGTCCTCCGCTGACGTAGGGTTTGGAAAGAAGTCTGGGAGGAAGACCTCAGCCTGCAGGTGGAACTCTGACACCACCTTCGGCAGGAAGGAGATGCCCGGTACTAGGCGGACTCCATCCGGCAGAAACAACAGGTAGGGTGTATCATGCTGGAAAGCCAGTATCTCTCCCACTCACCTAGCAGAGGTGATGGCAATTAAAAAGGCCGTTTTCCAAGCTAGGAGTTTGAGCTCGGAAGTTGCAAGTGGCTCGAAGGGCTTCCTCGTCAGCTGGCGTAGAACTAGAGGAAGGTCCCATGGAGTAACTGGAGTCCTGACAGGAGGGTAAAGGTGAAGCAAACCTTTTAAAAATCATTTCAAAATCGGATGTGAAAACAAAGTACATCCTTCAACTGGAACATGGTAGGCCGAAAGGGCGGCCAAATAAACTTTCAACGAAGAGTGGGAAAGTCCCGAGTCAGCTAGGTAGAGGAGGAAACTAAAAACTTTTTCGAGACCAGCTGAGGTGGCTCGAGTGGCGTCGTTGCCCAGAAAGGAGCAGAATTTTCTCTATTTGTAGTCATAAGACTTCCATGTAGTAGTGGGCTTCCTTGAATTCAGGAGAACGTCAACTACATGGGAGGAGAAACCCGTGATGTTACCTGCCAAGCTGTGAGTTTCAGCTGAAGTATGTTGTGGTGAAAAACGGGGGAGTCTGAGAGGAGCAGGAGGTCCGGGGCCAGGGGGAACTGATGGTATATCCCCTGGGAAAGCTCGAGGACCGTTGAAAACCAAGGTTGTCTTGGCCACCATGGTGTCACTAGGATACAGTCCGCGGCTTCCTTGAGAATCTTGCGGACCACTCTCAGAAGCAGAGGTAAGGGGGGGAACAGGTAAAGGAGTCCCGATGACCAAGGGTAAAGGAGGCCGTCTCCCAAAAATTGTGGGTCTTTGTCTCCTCGACTGCAGAACAGATGACATTTTTTGTTGGTTCTGGTCACAAAGACGTCGACTGGGGGAGTCCCCCACTTGTGGAAGAGTGGGAGGAGGTATTTTGGGTTCATCCCCCACTCGTGTAGGCTGAGTCCGGCTCGACTTAGATGGTCTGCCTGCACGTTCATGTGGCCCGGGATGTGAGTGGCCACAATGAATATGTCGTTGTCGATGCACAACTCCCACAGCTGGATGGCCAGGTTGCATAGGCGTTGAGACACTGTGCCCCCCTGCCTGTTGATATACGACATCACTGTGGTATTGTCCGTCAGGACCGTGACACATTTTCCCTTGAATAAGGGAAGGAAGGAAGTGACGGCGTGCCGTATGGCTAGGAGTTCAAGGAAGTTTATGTGTTTTCTCCTCGTGTGCGCATCCCATTTGTCTCCTACAGACAGTCCCATGGAGTGTGCACCCCATCCCGTCAAGGAGGCATCGGTAGTTATCGTTACCTCTGGTGACGGAGGGTGGAAGGGCGCTCCCTGAAGGATATTGGCAGGGAGAGTCCACCAAATTAAAGAGTCATGTATGCTGGGAGGATCGAAGGCGGTGACGTAAGGGTGGGTTGGGATGACGGTGGCCAGTGAAATAATATCTGATGCCCTGTCTTTGGGCAGATAAGCCATGCATGTCTGTGAATCCAGGATTGCACCGATATACTGTATGTGCTGGACTGGAGACAAGTGAGATTTTTGCCTGTTAACTTGAAGGCCCAGATTCTCTAATAGTGACAGAGTCTCTGCGACGTTTGAGATTAGGGCGGTTTTGGAAGGCGCCACCAGGAACCAATCATCTATGTAGGGGTAGATCGCGATACCCTGAAGATGGAGAAATGCCGCAACCACAATCACGGTCTTGGTGAAAACTGGAGAGGCCGAATGGGAGGGCCGTATACTGGAAGTGCCTGTGACCAATAGCAAAGAGTAGGTATTGGCGGTGGAAGGGGTGGATAGTGATGTGGAAATAGGCATCTTGGAGGTCAAGGGTGGGCATCGTGTCTGCGGAGTAGTGGCATGATCTGTGGAAGCGACACCATGCGGAAACAGTAGTAAATCACGAAACAGTTCAGCTCCCTGAGATCTAATATGGGTCGAACGCCTCCGTCTCTCTTCGGGACTGTGAAATAACGGGAGTAGAATCCCGTCCCATAGAGGTGTGAGGTACATGCTCGATGGCTCCCTTCTGCAGAAGGATGGATACCTCTTCGAGGAGAGGTGGGGAAGGGTGTGTGGAGACGACGACTGGGGTATTGGGGTTCTGGATGAATTCGATCTTGTAACCTTGGGTCAAGATGGCAAGCACCCACTCGTCCGAGGTGATGTGATGCCAGGTCTGAAGAAAGGGTGACAGACGGGCAATTGCTGACTTGGTGACAGGGAAGTCAAAAACCCTGCTTGGAGGGTTTTGATTGTTTGGTGCAAGAAGCCTGTTGGCCTGAACCGAATTTTGGCTTTTGGAAGGCGGGTTTCTGGCCTCCAGAAGATGTTCTTGGCCTCCAACGTGTATCAGGAGACTGATGAGTGGGGGTGCGCCTCTGCCAGAACCGGGATCAGGTGCGGGGGTGGTACTGTTGCTTTCCAGAGGATGAGACCCCTAGAGCCCGGGATGCCTTTATACTTTTATCAAGCTCTTGTAGAGTCAGTGGTGGCATTAAACAATCCCAGGCCATCGAAAGGCAGGTCTTCTACGTAGGACCTGGTGTCTATTGGCAGGTTGGTAGTACGAAGCCAGGAATGACTCATG